TGAAGACCTCTAATGAAATTTTATTTAGCAACAAGTAAGTTTAGTTTTTCACCAATGATGTTTGTCTATACCAGGTTCTATGAAATGCATCTTCATTGTTTAGTCATGTAGACATAAGGGCTACAAGTGTTTGAGTCCCAGTGAGCGATGGACAGTTCTGAGTTATCATCGAGATCAAATCATGTTGGAGGCAACATAGCTGCAGGCCAGCTGTCTAGACTAGCTACACTCAATTGGAATTCCTTCATTGATTAATAATGATAGGTAGGTAGGATGTATGACTTCTACCGCCCGGGGCATGAACCTAGGTAAAACCACCATGTCACTTAGTTGTCATCGAGATCCCTTCGGGCACCACCCTTATATTTTCTAATCTCAACAATCTTCGTTAAATCGTAGAGCAATGTTGTATTAATAGTGAACACCGCCTTGCCCATGTCATGTTTTTGAATAATCTGACAAGATCTTCAACCCATGTCAAGTGCTCGTCGTCCACTTTTGGTTTTGCATAACAAAACTCAAAACATTTTGTGGGACAGTGGAAGATGAATCCCACTAGTCATGCAATATACACCATTGCATATTTCTTTCATCTTCTATAGTGGGTCATTGTTCAAGTAACTGCTCCTCCGTCTTTAGCCATACACATAGACACACAAACTCTTCCACAACTTTTGTGACACCTCTAGGTCTTCTCCTTCCGGCTTCCCGGTGCACACCACATAGAGATAGAGAAATCCTCTGGAACTATGTCCCTTGCGACAAGGGAGAGGAGCAATGAAGTTAATGGGAGCGCACCCATGCGACAGTTTGCATGACTACTTTGATGTTGTTGCACACAAATACGTCAACTGCTTCACCAACTGCTCAATGTCTACCACCGAACCCAATGTCGACATCGTTGTCACCGCTGCCAATGGTGATCTTAAGGCTATCTGCTCAGCTATATTGTACATGTTCTTATTATTTCGGTTAGGGGTTGCTTTTGGTGTCTTAGTACTACAAATCGAGATGCACATATTATGTTTTTTTATCTACCAGATTGCTTCTCTAGTTTGTTTAATACATATTTTGTTTAGTAGATTAATCATTGTGTATCTACTGTATTTTTTGATGAAATATAATGAAATTTTGCCATTACTTACTCCCCTCTCTCTTCCACATAACAAAAATATAAAGTCCCAAACTTCTTGTTATGAACGAGAGATCTAGTAAAATCTTTTGGAGTTTAAATGTGGTGGTATTTGTTTACAATTAAGTAGGTGCCTCTTTGATTCGCAAGATTTGTGAAATGCAAGAATAGGACAAGTGGAGGAACAGAGCGACATGTCATTTTCAGTACCACATGATTATTGCAGACATTTGATTGTGCGGCAAAAACGTAAAATTTCTTCACATGAGGTGGATGAAAATTTTCCTATGGAAACTAGTACAAATAATTCTAAGGAAAAAATTCTTGTGGATTTTAATCCTATGAATCAAACAACCAAAGTCAATTGGGAAAAATACTAAGGCTTCCTTTGGTTTGTAAGAGTTCTATAGGACAACATTTCTATAGAAAAAATATCCTTTATAGCCCTTTGGTTGGTAAGAATGGATTCCTATTTCTATGTAAAGTTGCTTCTCATCCTTCACATTTCAAAGGAAACAAACGTTACCTCAGGCTTAATGGAAAAATTTCTATCCTATGAATCAAATGACATCTCTTTTCCGATAGGAACCGAGACGCATGCCAACTCAATTCCCATAACTTTCATATTCCTATGATATTTATATCATATGGACCAAAGGAGACTCATTAGGATTCTCCAAAGTTTCTTTAGAAACCCTCTAAATCGAAGCGGCTCTAGATGAATTTCAAAATATAAAATCTCTCAAGTCTGCTTGGCCCAAAAATAGAGGGAAGGTGTAAATAGAGTTGGTCGATGGAGTAAAACAATTACATGTCCACACTCATCCGCTGTGTTATGCGCCTTGAAGTGTAAGAGATTGCTATTTCTCAATGAGAAAACTTCACATTACAATCCTGAACTAACCACTCTGTTTGTTCAAACCAAAACTCCAAAAACCGTTTATCCTTCACACTAAACTACACAACCCATTCAAGATCGAAACCTCTGACCGGTTAACCCCCGTTTTGGCGACGTCGATTGGGTTTGACTACATTGAATGTTGATTCAGCACCGCCACGTCAGATTTTACTTCTCTATCTCCTTAATCAGAATGTTTACAGTGGGGCGCGCACGGACTCAAGGCTACTAGGCTAGCCTTGGCACTTTGGAAACCGTGTTGTTGGTCCCTATAAGCCTGGTCGCGAGCTCCAGCCCGCGGAGTAGCAAAAGGAGGGGCTAGAGCATGGTTAATAGTATAGCCAGCTGCTAGCTATATGTTCTTCCCACATGATCTAGGGGGTTGTGCCACCAAACAAAGTCGCGTGGGATGCCACAGAGGTGCACTTTTGATACGTCCATTTTGCATCATGTTTTCCTACTATTTTTTACAATGTTTCTGGTCATTATTTTCATTTATGATACAATTACTATGCCTTTTCTCTCTTAATTGCAAGATCTATATGACGAGGGAGATTACCGGCAGCTGGAATTCTGGACCTGAAATACCTACAGCTGATATACCTATTCTACAGAGCTCCAAATGACCTTAAATTTCACAAGGATTTGTTATTGAATATATAAAAAATATTAGAGTAAAGAAATAGCAAAGGGGTCCCACCAGTTACCCACAAGGCAACAGGGCGCGACCACCCCCTAGGCGCGCCCTGATGCCTTGTGTGGCCCACAATAGGCCTTTGGCCTCCTCCTTCTACATAAGGCTATTTTCCCTAGAAAAAATAAGGTGAGGACTTTCGGGATGAAGCGCCGCCGTCTCGAGATGAAACTTGGGTAGGAGCACTTTTGCCTTCCGGCAGAGCGATTCCGCCAGGGATACTTCCCTCCGGGAGGGGAAAATCAAAGCCATCGACATCACCAACGATCCTCTAATCATGGGAGGACCAATATTCATCAACATCATCACCAACACCAAATCATCTCAAACCCTATTTCATCTATTGTATTCAACCTTTGTCTCAAAATCTTAGATTGGTACCTGCGGGTTGCTAGTAGTGTTGATTACATCTTGTAGTTGATGCTAGTTGGTTTATTTGAAGGAAGATTATATGTTCATATCCGTAATGATATTCAATACTCCTATGATCTTGAATATGAATATGATTAGTTATTTTTATTTTTGAGGACATGGGAGAAGTCTTGTTATAAGTAATCATGTGAAGTTAGTATTCGTTCGATAGTTTGATAATATATATGTTGTTGCTTCTTTTAGTGGTGTCATGTGAACGTTGACTACATGAAACTTCACCATATTTGGGACTAAGGGAAGGCATTGTGGAGTAGTTAGGAGATGATGGGTTGCTAGAGTGACAGAAGCTTAAACCATAGTTTATGCACTATTTCGTAAGGGGCTGATTTGGATCCATATGTTTCATGTTATGGTCAGATTTTTCTTAATTCTTCTTTCGTAGTTGTGGCTGCTTGCTAGAGGGGGCAATCACAAGAGGGTTCTTCAAGTAAGAATAGCACCCTAGCACCAATCCACCCACATATCAAACTACCAAAGTAGCGAATGCGACTCAACTAAACATGATGAACATGACTAGACGAGAATTTCTATGTGTCCTTGAGAACACTTTGCTTTATATAAGAGATTGTTCCAGCTTATCCTTTGCTCTATAAAGGATTGGGCCACCTTGCTATACTTTTCCTATTATTGTCACTTGTTACTTGTTACGAATTACCTTGCTACAGAACTACTTGTTACCGCTACTTTCAGTACTTGTAGAGAATACCTTGTTGAAAACCGCTTATCATTTCCTTCTGCTCCGCGTTGAGTTCAACACTCTTACTTACCGAAAGTACTAAGTTTAATCCCCTATACTTGTGGGTCATCAACCTTCATAGCGAGGGGAAGGAGGTGACAAGCGAGCCGATGAGCCACGAGGAGGTGTGTCGACCATGATGCCACGGATGCTTGTAAGCATCACTCACCTCGCGGGTACCACCCACCGAAGCACCCCAAGCCATCCCGTGTCTCCCTCTGACTCCACTTGTGAACCAATCTAGCGAGGAAGTCATTGCATTGTCCGCACCACCTCTCCTTTCCTGGCTCCGGCTGCAACTCGCCGTCATGGCCGTCATGCCAACCTTGTCCACCGAGACGATATCGATCTCCCTTTGATTCATTTTATTCTTGGATCCTCCTCAGTACCCCTGATCTGCCGCCCCTTCCAGTTTCAGGATTTGAGTGCTCCAGCGAGCCTCCCACCAAGTTCCGCCCTCACCATCGTACGACTGTTTTCGCTGGTCATGCTTTGAGCCTTTGACTGACCCTGGATGCTGATTCACTTCAGCACAAGGTCCGTCGCGGTTCCCTGGACCCAGAACTATGTTCCGCTCTGACACTCATGCCACCAGTCGCCGGCGGGCGCCGCTTGTAGGCACTGCGGTAGGTCCATGGTTTCTAGTTGTATCGAAAGAACAAACCAGACCCATCCAGCCTATGAGCACCAGAGCTGACTACTAGGCCCTAGTGCCTCGGTTATTCCAAATGAAACCCTCCAGAAACTTCTTAGTTGTTGACAAGTAGGACTAGCCATTACAAGCTGACATGGCGGTACCGAGTCAGTAGTCAACATGGTCAAAAACCAAAATTGGGGTAGGATAACCGTTTTTTGAGTTCGGGGTTGAATCTTAAACAAAGTGGTTAGTTCAGAATTGTAGCATGGACTTTTCTTTTTCTCAATCAACTTCTAAACCGTCAGATCTATGATTCGTGCAGATTGTGTTCCATTTTGAGATTTCAAAAAGAAAAAGGAAAGAAAGAAAAATACCCTATGATAACGTCAGTTGATTGAGAACTCTCAATCGATTGAGATTTAGCCACCCCACCTAAGTATGAGAATTACATGTCTTAACCTTTGACCATACCTGTGTGTTTCTGGCATTTCCAAACCTATTTATTATATCCATTGTATTTGCTGGTCTATTGGCTGGGTTAATGTCGCTGCACTCAATCCCTATATGAGTGCATACTTTTATCTGGTCCAATTGTGCGGGTGACGGCGGCTCGCCCAACCTGTTGATCCAATTCTCAATAACCTACCAAAATGCAACCATCAGTTAGGCTCAGAAAAAATAAACCAGCAGTATCTTTCTGTTAGAAAATGAAATTATATTCCTCGCAAAAAAGAAAAAGAAAAAGAAAGAGATGATTTCGTCACAGAAGCCTCCATCCCGCTCCTGGGTGAGCTTCCCAGGGCTCCGGCCATGCATGCGGGGGATACCGGAGCTGCGCACCCACCACACCCACTGGGTGTTTGGCGATTTGCCTGTTCGGCAATCTTCGCCGGCGAGGAGGGATGGAGGAGGAAGCCGAGGCCGACACCCAGAACGAAAAGCATGTTGGAGATATGCCCTAGAGGCAACCATGTATGATGATATTTCCTATGTGTTTATGAATAAAGATAGTCCTTGGACACTATCAATCATGTGTATCAGCAAGTACGTGACTTGTTTGTGGGACTATGCATTGTATGATGACTGTCCTAAAAGGTCCCTAGTTGAAAGGGTTGTGTGGACGCACAGCCGACTGGACTAGCATATGACACGGTCGATGGCTTGGTCTCACTAGCCATGGAGCATTGGATGCTAACCGGATAATATGGACTTGGAAAGGTCTGGTCGGATTCGACGTAGTCGGATCCGAGTCGAGATAAGGTCCGAGTCAGACAGACCCAACTATGAGACGCAGCGATATGTCATCTGTGAGTCTCTAGTACAACATACGTTCTATGTCCTAAGACCTGAGCTGAAGCATGTACTCGGATGGTGACAGACTTGCTTTGGGCTGATCAAATGCTACTCCGTGACTGGGTAGTTACAAAGGTAGGTTTCGGGTTTGTCCAGTCCCATGCTGCGAGACATGGTCGAGCAAGATGGGATTTGCCCCTCCGATCAGGAGAGATATACTCTGGGCCCCTCGTGTGATCCGACCAGGATAAGCATGGCCATGCGACAAGGATTATGAGATAATCCAGTTTGTGGTCGGTATCACTGGAACGAGAAAGAGGTCGGGCTAGCACAAGGATGACAGTCTCGCCTTGAGCCCGACAACATATATCATGCGGCAAAGGGAACAGAAGTGTGACACGTTGTACAGGTTCGCCTAACCAGCTTCATAGTCTGCTTGGTGGTCGGCACGCCTTGCTAGAGGCCGCTACCAACCGTGCAGGTCGGAGGTGATCCGAACTGTGACCAAGCCGACTTGAACCTAAGGGGTCGCGCGCTTAAGGGAAGGAACCTACGAGGTCGGTTCGTAGGACACTGGTCGGATGTGCTCCGAACTGGACTAGGAACGTGACCGAGTAGACTTTGGGCTTTAGGGTCCGTGCGAGGCCCAAGTGTTGAGCCTGCGACGGATGCCTATATAAAGTGGAGGTGCGGCACACTCATGAGGTTGATCGCTTCAGCGCTGCGACTAGGGTTTGCACGTGTTGCGAATAGCCACCTCCACTCGCCGCCGACTGTGTGATCGGACCTAGCAGTCCGCCGCACGGTGTTCCTCCTGCACGCGCGGATACCGTTAGAGGCGGTGCACTTGCGCCGCTCCGGCGAACTCGTACGTGGGATCGGACGAACGACTGTTCGAGGGGGATCGAACGAGGAGGAGACGATCCACGCGGACGCGCTGCCCCAACTCTTCTTCCGATGCATGGCACTGCACGTCTAGTGGTAACGAACTGTGATCCATCTCCCGTAGCATGTTCCTGGATGTTCTGCACATAGGAAAATTTAAATTTGCAGTCGACGCATCCTACCGTAGAACCCAACAAAGCACCTCATGATCCTCGCCGCTTTGGCCGGCCTGTTCGCGGACAATGCAAAGCCATGGCAAGGTGGCTCGGCACCGGGCCGCCGTAAGAGCAAGCCGAGGCATCGACTGGAGGGCTAGTGCTTGCTCTACGCTGACTACTTTGCCGACACTCTGCTGCACTGCGAGAAAGTATTTCAGTGCCGTTATCGGATGAGCCCAAAGCTCTTCCTCAGGATTGTGAATGTCATTCGGGAGTTCGACAGCTACTTCATTTGCAAGAAGGATTGCACCGGCACAGTTGGAGACTCCTCACTCCAGAAGTGCACGACGGCTATGAGGATGCTTGCACACGTAGCTCCTAGTGATATACTGGAAGACTATGGACGCATGGCCGAGTCCACCACAATTGAGTGTTTGTATAAGTTCTGCAGGGCAGTGGTGGCAGTGTTTGAACCACAATACTTGCGATCACCCAATGCTGAAGACACTGCTCGGATCCTAGCATAGAATGGAGCAAGAGGATTTCCTGGGATGCTTGGAAGCATCGACTGTGTGCATTGGGCATTTAAAAATTGTACATTTGCTTGGCAGGGGATGTACAAAGGCGCCAAAGGAGCTTGCGGTCTGGTACTTGAGGCAGTGGCCACACAGGACCTCTGGATTTGGCACTCCTTTGGTATGCTAAGAACTCACAATGACATCAACGTACTCCAATGCTCAATGTCTTTGCCAAGCTTGTTGAAGGTCATGCTCCTTCGGTGAACTTCGAGGTCAATGGGCGCCACTACAACAAGGGATACTACCTAGCAGATGGCATCCATCCGAGATGGTCCACATTTGTGAAGACTATCTCAAACCCAGTGCCAGGAGGCAAGAACTCCTACTTTGCCAAGTGTTAGGAGGCTTACAGAAAGGATGTCGAGCAGGCATTTGGTGTGCTCCAATCTTGATTTGCTGTTGTCCGGTACCCCGCTCTGACCTGGTTGAAATCTCAAATATGGGAAGTGATGACTTGTTGTGTCATCTTGCACAACATGATCATTGAGAGTGAGCAGGAAGAGTCAGTGTTTGACACCATATTACAGGCAGGGTTCTCTTGCCCTAGTTGATCACCAGGTATCGGTATCATGGGCTGCCTTCCTCAATATGTGTCAGGATGTCCAAGACCCACAGGTGCATCGAGAACTGCAACACGATCTGGTGGAGCACCTATGAAGGCTCAAGGGCAACGCTTAGTTCGATGTGTGATGAACTATGAGTTTGCTTCGTTGAACTATGAGTTTTAATTTGTGTTTGAATTATGAGTTTGCTTCTTTGAAATATTTGATTTGTATTGATTTTTCTGACGAACTATGTGATAAAAATTCATCTTTGTTGAATTTGTGCCGAAGCACGCCAAATTTGGGCATAATTTGCATCGAATTTGGG